CCTTCCCTCCCCCCACACAGCAAGCAGGAGTCTCGGGGAGCAGCTCCAAGGCAGAGGGCAGGAGCAGCACATGGCAGTGGGGGGAGGGACACAGCTGAACTGCAGGCAGCTGCTGCACAGGGAACTTAGGGAAGCGGGGAGCTGATGGGGGGGCTGCCAGTCTACCCTGGTTCCAAGCCCCCGCCAGCTAGCTGCAATGGGCTGCTCTTCCTGCAAGCAGTAGACAAAGCAGGCAGCTGCCAAACGACCTTAGAAGGGAGCATTACGCAACCTTAAACGAGCATGTTCCCTAATTGATCAGCAACGTAACAACAAAACGTTAACCGGGACGACTTTAAATGAGGAGTGACTGTAGGGAAGAAAATAAAAACTACAGAGTTCTTTTTCAGGTCTGGGGAAAGAAGTCAGAGTGCCAACTGTTAATTTATATTTTGCCCATATGCTCTGATTTCTTAGCCGCAGACACTCTGATTTCTTTCATCAGACCCGAAGAACTCTGTGTAGGTCAAAACTTGTACCTTCCAGCAACAGAAGTTGGTCCAGTAAAAGATATTACCTTACCTACCTTGTCTCTGTTATATTAATCAGGGCCGGCTTTAGGCCGATTCCCCCATTCTGGCCCTGCGCCTAAGAGAGCCCCGCGCCCTAAAGAAGAGCCCCTAACTTAGGCGCCTTTTTAATTTTTACTCACCCGTCAGCGGTCTGGATCTGCAGCGGCACTTCGGCGGCGAGTCCTTCACTTGCTCCAGGTCTTCGGAGGCATTTCGGGGGCGCGTCCTTCAGTGCCACGGAAGACCCGGAGTGAGTGAAGGACCCACCGCCGAAGTGCCGCTGAAGACCCGGACCGCTGCCGGGTATTCGAAGCGGGACCCGCACTTCCTAAAGCTGGCCCTGATATTAATGACACACTGATGAGACTCAAATGACAATCCACAGATTCAAACTTAATTTTACAGTAAATTGGTAGTTTAGATTTTGCTATCAACTACACATACATTATTCTCAAGGAACACCAATTCTTCCAAGAAACACCAATTACAATGACTTCATAATGTTTTTGTCAGATTATATTAGCTGATATTTCTCATTTATTCCTTGAAATAGAATACCTACATAAAATATGTTGAGTTTTTTTAAAACCCAGCAAATTATGGGTCAGAGGTAAGGCAACTGTGTTGTGATGAAATAGTCATTTCTTCATAGTCAATAAGAAATTATGTGAGCAGTGTTAATTTTATGATACCCTTAACAATTCATTTCCTTGCTTTTTAACTACTTGGGTTTTCTAAATGTGATAAGTTTTTATGATAAGTTTTTGTCACTTAGCAACATTAGCCAGTTTTGAAATGAAGTTTATTTTTGGAATAAAAAGTATGTACTGTATCATTAAACAGCTAGCACTGTCATTTAGATTTAATATATTATAAATTAGGTAACTAGTCATGAGACATACTATCCAGTGTTAATGCTAATGCTTTGTGTTTTAAAGGTGTCACTTACACTTGAAGAGAAGCAAAAGTTAGCAAAAGAGCAAGAACAGGCACAAAAATTGAAAAACCAGCAACCACTTAAGCCTCAATCACATGCAATCATAGCTCCAGTCAAACAGGTGAGAAAAGATCTCTACTGAACAGTTTCCATGGTAACCTTGCCCCTACCTCCTTGCAAGTACTGTATGTTTTATAAAAGTGATCATTTCTATGTCTTACCTTCTTGATTTACTGACATCCCCCACTCCCCATTTTCAGTGGTGTCAGTACTATAGAGTCAATGTAGCTAAATAATAACAAATTGTGTTATGTTCTGCCCAGTGCCTCAACAGCAATATTAACAATATTTATTATTTATGACACAGTAGTGTCCAGAGGCAATGTCATGATTTGGAGTCCCATTATTCTAGTTACAATACAAGCTTACAGGAAGACAGTCTCTGCCCCAAAGAGCTTACAGCCTAAATAGATAAAGATAAAGGGGGGGAGGAGGACAGGAATGCATCACATAAGCAAAGCAGAGTGGTGGTTTGCATGCTGTTCATTACACTTTTTTTAGTCGTGTCTGTGTAAGGTAGGAGGAAATGAGTTAGCAAGTGTGAAGGAATAGGAGACTGGATAGAAGGATGGGAGATATTTAAGGATAAAGGATCAAAAAGGTGATTAGGAAAGAGGGAGGACAGAAGGGCAAGGAGCATGGAGGGTAGGTAGAGCAAGGCTGGCATCAGAGGGATTCTGATGAAGATGAGATTGGAGCACATAGTCACTCAGTAAAGGAAAGAATGCCTGTAGATGAGCCTATAAAAGCAAAGCCTGATGATATCACTGACAGTGGCAGATTTAGAGTTCATGGGGCCCTGTGCACAGCTTCATTTTCAGGCGCACCCTTCTCCCCCTCAGGACCCAGCCAAGAAAAAGAACATTCTCTTATCTTCTCTCCCCTCCCCCCCCATTTTTTCATTTTTTTTTCTTCATACTCATTCTATATTATAAGTAATGGGAAGTAAATGAAAATAAAGTGAGGTACCTTGACTGGGGCAGGGGGTTGGGGTGCAGGAGGGGCTGCGTGGGGTGGGCTCTGGGAGGAAGTTTGGGTGCGGGGTGCAGGCTCTGGGCTGGGACAGGGGATTGGGAAGCGGGAGGGGAGCGGTGCTTACCTTGGGCGGCGTGGCTCCCAAAGCAACCAGCCCACGCACTCCTCCGGCAGCGGCTCCTAGGTCGGGGGGGGGGGGGAGAGGGGAGGGAAGGGAAGGGGCCAGTGGGTCTCTGAGCACTGCTACCCGCAGGTGCCGCCCCCGCAGCTCCCATTGGGCCACAGTTCCCAGCCACTGGGAGCTGCGGAGTTGGCACTCGGGGCGGGGGACGGGATGACGGGGACGACACACACACACACACACACACACACGGGCCACAGGGACATGCGGGCCGCTTACGGGAGCGATGCAGCACGGAGGGAGGGAGGCAGAGCTGGCAGGGAGCTGCCTTAGCCCTGCTGCTGGCACATCTCTGCGTGCCCCTTGGCGGGAGGGGAACAGTGGGTCTCTGTGCGTGGGCAGAGCTCCCTTCCCTCCTCTGCCAGGGGCGTGCAGAGACGTGCCAGCAGCCGTCCACTTCTAGGAGCAGCATGGGGCCACCGGCCACCGCATGCGAGCAGCCTGCCCGCCTGAGCCCTGCTGCGCTGCCAGGACAAATAACTGGGGACAGGTTGTCAGATATTTGTCCTGCATTTTGTGGGGGCCCCTGTCGTTGGGGGCCCCATGCCACCACACGGTTTGTTTCATGGTAAATCCGCTCCTGATCACTGATGTCCTGAGGGATTGTGAAAGCCTCTTCTGGCACAGAAATCTGGTTGCTGGGTGCTTACAGTATCTCCTGGAAGAATCAACAGA